ACGTGGACGAATTCCGAAACGCAACATTGAATTCGACAAAATTGAAATTTCAACGCATTGTCGCAATTGGTTTGAATTGTAAGTTTTTTTCCGTGCCATGTCCCTTTACATTTTTAGATTGTTCTTATTTACTACTTTAGCTCTCGAATTGAGCAAAATTGTCATATCACCGAATGGGAAATCCGTAAGCCTCTCAAGCAATTACTCGGAGGAGTTTCCAGCAGTGCTGCATGCAGTCTTAGAGGACTTTACACCGAATTTCTCAAAATGAGAAATTTTCTAAGTGCTTGTTCGGCGACTATTTATATGATTTGTTGTGTATATATGCTAAAAAGGCGCTCAGTAGGTACGAATTGATGTTCCGATATTATGCCAGATTGCCATCGTACATATCCTCTAATTCAGGTTTAAATCAAAAAACAAACAATATATTTTAAAAGTTTATAAAGATATAATACATCAGTGGAAAAGATGCTCCTAGATGATTAACAATGAAACGGATGAACATATGATTCATTATAATGATGAAACATCTGCAACACTGTGTGTAAAAATGGCAATAGTTAATTGCTTTTGATTGTTAAGGTAGAACCAAGACAAATCGTCAAGCATTCTATCTTTGGGAGCAGTCATTTATAAAAACCATTCAAAAGGGGTGTCTTAAAAAAGTCCTGTAAATCACGTCAAACTTTCGACATTGAATCGTATGGTTAATTTTAATATGCGTAGTAGGAAAAAGTTATTTCCACTAATATTCTTTAAGTGTACAATCAGATGTCTGAAATAAAGCGTAATTTGCAAATCCTTTGAAATGTATACAAAATTATAGCAAAGATTCAATGAGTAGAGCAGCAGATAAACTCATCAACAGCTAGAGGAAAAGTTGTTTTACATGACCATGTCAAAAAAAGTACATTCGTTTATCGATCAAACTATTTAAACATATCTAAAAATTCGTCTTGTACTATGTGGTATCCTTCAATGATTGAACTAAGGGTCGGGAGGTAAATTTTAAATTTGATTGTTAATGTTTTCTTTTCTGTAGGAGATACGTAAAACGGTTTGAAAGGTTGCTAGTTCTGATGGGTTACATATGCTAGCCCTCTAAACAATTGCCGGCATTATGCTCACTACACCAGCACTTCTTTTCAGCCATAAGGTCTAAAGAGACGGTCTTTTGGAGATTCTAAAAAATTGCCCTTGTTGAGTCTGTTATCTATGGTACGATTGACACAACTAAATCATAAATAAAGTGACCTGTGCTACCGTGCAATGTGAAAAATCCCCAAAGTGCGAAATTGAGCATATTTGAGCGCTCCAAACAGTGGAGATGCTGGATGATGCTGTATAAGTAACCTATACTCATTATTTCCAGGTTACGCTTATTGTTAATTTAAACAAGAATGAGCTAAAAAGCTTGAAAATTGCGATC